GCTGCGGGCGGCGCCCCAGGGCGAGCCTGCCTGGGAGTAACTGCCCTTAAAACTGCCTGGCCTTGGCTTCCGAGAAAGCCAAGCCCGCCTCCTAAGACTGGCTCGCTCAAGGCTTCGCTGCCTGCGCCTTCGAGTAGGACGCGCTTAACGTGCGAGTGCGTAATTTTCCTCCCAAGTAAGGCGTCCGGAACCGGGACTTGGTCGAGCGCAGCCCCCCCTTCCTCCCCTCGGCGCCTGCCGACGTCAGCCTCTTCGCCCACCCCCGAAAAGCGCCCGTCCCGTTCCTCCGCCTTCAGCCCCACGTGCACCTCCTTCCGACGAGGCTGCGCCGACCCGCTTTGGCCGCTGGCATTTGCCGAAAAGCCACTCGGGGAGCGCTTCAGGCCGGCGTGGTGGGAGCAGCGTCTCTGTCCTCTGGGCGGCTCCGGCGCAAGCGGGGAGGCTTGCTGAGGCGAGGAGCGCGTGTGAACTCCAGGAGGAGACCCGAAGAGGCGCCCCCGGTAAGACAGGCTCTCGGGCCCGCGAGCAAGTCCTGCTGCTCGGGATTTTTTTTTTTTAATGGTCGCCAACACTTCTTGCCAGTTTGGTGTTAGGTTACCGCTAGAGGAGTTTGCTTGAAATAAGACTATTCCCGCTGTCAGTACCTTGTGCATTTCGGGTCTCTCTTGACTTTCATGTTTAAACCGCCCCCTCCTTGTATGTGTGAATATGTGCTTCCATAGAAGTACAGTACTTAATTCAGCGGGCGCCTCGTGAAGTGGGCTGCTTTCCACAAAAGCGTCGGATATTATACAGTAAATGTGTTAGCCCTGAAGCAACTAGCCGTCGATACATATGGATGTGCAGGAACCATATAACTCCTGGTTGAAAATGGCACAATCAGTTCTATTCATTTACAGCCCAGTTTTATGCCTCCCCCCCCCCCGGGAGCGAATTACAAGAGAATTTAGTGAGGATTTTCTTCAAATAGGTACCCTTGGATTGTCACCTTTCAACGCAATCCTTTGCTCAGAATTAAGTGTGGTTGAGTTTAGCCGGATTTACTCCGCAGTCAGTGTGGTTAGGATAGCAGCCAGAGGCAAAAATCAGGAGAGGTGACAGAAAAAAAGGCAGTTCTTTAAACTGGTGGGTTTTAAACTTCCTACAGATTCAAAAGTGCTATGGGTTTGCCTCAAAAAGAGGTAAACAAAACACATCACTTCAGCTGTGCCTGTGAGAAATTAAAAATGTACCAAGTAATCTTATCCAAAGGGGCAGTTTAGTCTGTTGCAGCAAAAACAGTGAAGTATCCAGTGGCATCTGAAGTACTTCTGCCGGAGGCTGGATGTCAACATTATTCTGATTTAGGATTGTGGCAGCTATAAACAATAATGTTGTGTTGCATCCAAACCAGTCTCCAAGGTTTTTTCCCCCCTCAAATTATTCTCCATCTTGTGCATCTCTCCCCATCCCATGCGATTTATCTTGAATGATCAGGTGCAATAATATGTAATTTTCCTTTCAGATTATATGACTAATGTAGCTTTCTGCATTTTACATACTCTATGGTTTCTTGGTCTTTATACATTTTGGTACCCCTTCACTAGCTATCCTCTTGATCTGAGAAATGCTTTCGTTGTTTAGTTGTTAAGTCGTGTCCAACTCTTCATGACCCCATGGACCAGAGTATACCAGGCCCTCCGGTCTTCCACTGCGTCCCGGAGTTTGGTCAAATTCATGTTGGTAGTTTCGATGACACTGTCCAACCATCTCGTCCTCTGTCATCCCCTTCTCCTCTTGCCTTCACACTTTCCCAACATCAGGGTCTTTTCCAGGGAGTTTTCTCTTCTCATGAGATGGCCAAAGTACAGTATTGGAGCCTCAGCTTCAGGATCTGTCCTTCTAGTGAGCACTCAGGGTTGATTTCCTTCAAAATGGATAGGTTCGTTCTCCTTGCAGTCCAGGGGACTCGCAAGAGCCTCCTCCAGCACCACAATTCAAAAGCATCAGTTCTTCGGCGATCAGCCTTCTTTATGGCCCAGCTCTCACTTCCATACATCGCTGCTGGAAAAACCATAGCTTTGACTATGCGGACCTTTGTTGGCAAGGTGATGTCTCTGCTTTTTAAGATGCTGTCAAGGTTTGTCATCGCTTTCCTCCCAAGAAGCAGGCGTCTTTTAATTTCGTGGCTGCCGTCACCATCTGCCGTGGTCATGGAGCCCAAGAAAGTAAAATCTGTCACTGCCTCCATATCTTCCCCTTCTATTTGCCAGGAGGTGATGGGACCAGTGGCCATGATCTTAGTTTTTTTGATGTTGAGCCTCAGACCATTTTTTGCGTTCTTTCACCCTCATTAAGAGGTTCTTTAATTACTCCTCACTTTCTGCCAGCAGAGTGGTATCATTTGCATATCTGAGGTTGTTGATATTTCTTCCGGCAGTCTTAACTCTGGATTGGGATTCATTTAGTCCTGCCTTTCACACGATGTATTCGGCCTATAAGTTAAATAAGCAGGGAGACAGTATACAGCGTTGTCGTACTCCTTTCCCAATTTTGAACCATTCAGTTGTTCCATATCCAGTTCTAACTGTTGCTTCCTGTCCCACATATAGCTTTCTCCGGAGAGAGATAAGGTGGTCAGGCACTCCCATTCTTAGCACCCTGTAAATTCTTAGCACCCTGTAATGGAATGAAGAGTTGCATAGTACCTTCAAGACTAACAAACATTGTAAGAGGAGCTTTTATGGATTACATCTCACTTTACTGGATGCATGCAATCCTGCACATGTCTACTTAAAAGTCAATCCCACTGAATTTAGTAAGGCAGACTCCAAGGAATCTTGATTTAGATTGCACTTCCATTGCACTGAATAGCCCTTAGTTACAAGGTTGAAATGCAGGTTCCACAGAAAGTTTATAAATTAGCAAGTTTATACATTAGTCCACAAAAGCTGATTTCCATCACGGATAGTTTAAAGAGATTATGAGATAACTTGTGTTTGTGTTCAGAGTGTTATGTCATAGAGCTAAAGGTTTCAAGATGCCTCTTTCATACACTATAAAACTTACTGTGAATTCTTTATACCATGGTTATGCATGTGTGGATTTTTCTGTTCTCCAGTACCTCAACTAGGAAATCAGTCTCGTTTGTCTCATTCTGCACATGTGAGCATTATACACTTGGAATTTTTTTGGCTCAGAAATGCAGCTGCTCTGTTTTCCCACAGAGAAGGATCTGTCCTTTAAAAGTAAAGTGTTCCTTAGATAACATAATTGTGAACAGGCTTATATCTGTGGTGAGAATATCCTCTAGGTGGTTATGTGGAGAACCTTGTGAAACCAGCTGTTTGAACTGAAAGTAGACAGACTTTTTAAAAACATTTTTTGAGAAGTTACAGATTTTGTGGACTCCTTTCTTAAGTCTGCTCATTAATATGAAGTGTTTGCAGATTGGTATTTCACATGTTACATAGGCAGCATGTAACCAGTGTAAGGAGACACCCTTCAAAAATTTGAGTAGGTGGTGAGTAAGGCACCCTCAGCACTCAGTCCACAAGCCATCCCAAATTTACAGTGGTGCCTCAACTTACGAACTTAATCCGTTCTGGAAGATAGTCATAACTCACTCATTAATATGAAGTGTTTGCAGATTGGTATTTCACATGTTACATAGGCAGCATGTAACCAGTGTAAGGAGACACCCTTCAAAAATTTGAGTAGGTGGTGAGTAAGGCACCCTCAGCACTCAGTCCACAAGCCATCCCAAATTTACAGTGGTGCCTCAACTTACGAACTTAATCCGTTCCGGAAGATGGTCATAACTCAGAATGGCCATAAGTCGAAGCACCATTTCCCTTAGGAATGCATTGAAATGCAATTAATCTGTTTAGGCCGAAGAAAAAAGTCACCCCAAAAAATCACCAAAAAAACACACACTGCAAGACCCATCAGAAACGTGATTAATCAGTTCCAGCCGAAGGGCGGGGGGGGGGAGAAAAGCAAGCAAACCATGTAAGACCCTTCGGAAATACAAAAAAGCAAAGCAGAAAGCAAGCAAAGCGTGCAAGACCCATCGGAAATGCAAAACAAGCAAAGCAGAAAGCAAACAATCCTCTTAAGACCCATCGGAAATGGGGGAAACCCCAAAAAGCAAACAAACCCCCCAAGACTCATCACAGCACAGAAATACTACCCCCCCAGCCCAAAACCACACTGCAAAACTGACCCAGAACAGTTTTTAAAAAGCAGAAAGCAGCAGGCAATCTGAAGCTTCCTTCGATCGCACACACTCTAACCATTGGAGCAAAAGAGCTACAAAGAAGCAGCCTACTAACAGTTCGCAATTTGAATTCCCTGCCTTCTCCCCCTGCCTTTTTTTGGTTGTAATTCAAAGCTCTGGCCACAAGTTGAAGCAAAATTTTGCGGCCGGAGCTGGTCGTAACTCCGGATGTTCATAAGTCGAGGCACCACTGTACTGTATCCCTTTTAGTGCCAACAACAGTGTCAGGATATAGAACAGTATATTACTAGAAGACATAACAAGGGCCAAAGTCCCATTTAATAACAGGTGCTTGGAAGTAGAGGTTGCATGTTTGGTAATTGTGCTAGTATGGAGGCAGAGGTGCTATCACTGTCATTGGCTCTTTTTTCTGAGAAGCACTTGCATTTTTGGTGAGGGAATTTGGTTTTTATTTAGTGCTTTAGAACTTTAAAAATAGAGCACAGGTCTGGAGTAATAGCTCACTAGTTTTGTTATCTGGCTGTGGAGCCAGAGGTTGGGAGTTCAATTTCCCACTGTGCCTCCTGTGAGTAGAGCCAGCCTGTGTGGCCTTGGGCAAGCTGCACAATCACAGGATGTCCCTAGAAGAAGAGAATAGTGAACCATGCACAATCACAGGGTGTCCCCAGAAGAAGAGAATAGTGAACCACTTCTAAATATTCTCTACCTAGAAAACTCTGGGAAATGGGTCTCCATAAGTCAAACTGACTTGATAGCACATGATGATTATTAAATAGCAGAAGTTTCTAATGATAGAAAGATACATAAAGGAATGTAGTTTTGCTTGGGAATGCATAACAGAAGTTCAAAATACATAATGTCCAGGAAAGTGGGCATTAAAATATAACAGTCTTTCAGATGCCACAACATGTCATGAGTTCAGCTGAAAAAGACCTGGAATCGGAGGAGTTAATTGCAGCCGAGAGAAGTGTAGGGCAATTAGTAGAACCAGAGGCCGCTCTGTTATCACAGACAGCTCCAATTAGGATGAATCACTGCCAGATTCTCCTCCCCTACTGGCCAGAGTTAGAGATAGGCTTTAGCAGAAACTTACAACACAGAGATCTGAAGCTCGCATGCATGCTTCTCATAGAAATATCAGACCAGCCAGTCCAGAGTTTTAGCAGGATGGAGTTCCCAGGGATGAGATGATTGTTGCTTCTATATACAGTGGCGCCTTGCATAGCGATCACTCCGTATAGCGATGAAATCGCTTTGCGATGGATTTTTTGCAATCGCAAA